GGTTATGCAATTTTGTCATAAGCGGGAAGTAAAAATCCAAAAGGTATATTCAAAATTCAAATTTCTGACTTCTCCCGCTCAAATATTTCAAAATTCAAAATTCGAACTGTCGATTTTGACACGTGCCTGGCGCTGGTCATGGCAGCAGTCGCGTCCCATCGCCTTCCCATGCGCCATCATTGCGCCGCCTGACGCGGCGCGACCTCGAGTGGCCACGTCGCCTCCCTCTGTCTTCCTCCTCGCCTATATAAAGGCTTCAACCCCATTGTCTCTCTCACTTCTTCTCGCGCGACCTTCCTGAGTTCCACCGGTCAGTCTCTCCGTTCTAGCCTCCTAGCCCTCCGAGTCAAGTAAGCTTTCTTCGTATCTTTTATTAGCTTTCTTTCTTCATTTTTCCTCCCGGTAGATGTCTTCCTCTGATAGTCAAGGTATCTCTTCCTCGGATGCCTGCGCATCCGAGGAATCTTCAACCTCCTCTTCTTCGACCGGGTCCTCTTTGTCCAGTTTCGAGACCCGGTCAGGCCCCAACGCCACCGTCCCTGGACCGCGACCTGTCAACCAGATGCCCGGTCAGGTTTCTCAGAAGAGGGATGAACCGGTCGACGATGAGCCAGCTCCCTATGACCCTGACGGCGAGTCGTATGAGGGATGGGTGAACCGGTTGGAAGCAGCCAGTTACTTTCCCCTCCCCACCAGTTACCCTTCAGACATCTACCCCCATGTTTCCAAAATCGCCCAAAATAAGGCACGTAGGAACCTCCCGGAGGGGTACGTCCTTGAATACGACCCTAACTGGCGCAATATCATCGAGCCTCACCGGGACGATAGGATAGGGTTCCGTATCGTCTCCCTGGAGAGCGGCACCGTCTTCCCCCTTCGCCCCCTTCTGGTCGAGTTGTGCCATTGTTTCAAGATCCTCCCCGGGCAACTTACGCCCAATGCCCACCGTTTCCTTAATGCTTTTGTAAATATCTGCTCCCATCTCAAAATCGATCCTTCCCTTTGCCTTTTCCTTTATTTGTTTGAAGTCCTTCCCGGTAAGTCGGGTTGCGACGGCTACGTCTACTTCAAAGGCCGTAACGGTCGCCAATTCATCTCGGACCTTCCACAAAGCAACCGGCTGTGGAAGGAAAAATTTGTCTTTATAAAATTTGCCACCGTTTCTCCTTTGGCCGGCATAAAGTGGAGCGACCACCTCCTGAAACCGCAATACACTGAGCCGGCTAACGCTCCAGACATGGAAGAAAGTTTGGAGAAACTCTTACAAGGGGACCCGTTCACTCGGCAAATGTTCCACTACGGGGCTTGGATTTGGAGGATTTCACCGGGTGGCACGGGTACCCCCCGGGCTGATGAAGCAGCGGGGCACGGGGTACCCGCTCCGGGCAACACTGCGGAAGCTGGGGGTTCCAGTCACCCAGGTATCCTCCCTCCCTCTTCTTCCTTCTTGCTTTCTATATACCGGTCTATGCTTGATTAATATTTTCGCTTGTTTTGCAGAGATGAACTTCAGAGCATTCAACATCCCCTCGAAGAAGACCGGCGGCTCCTCCTCTGCAGCCCCCAAAACTGTACCGGTGCAACAGGAACCGGTGGAGATCAATTCCGAGGAGGAAACTCTTCCGACCGGGAGGACCGGTCAGGCTGGGAGGACCACGGTAAACCCTCCTCTGGACAAGGGGAAGGGGAAGGTCCGGACGAAACACGCCGCCACCACTCATCCCTCGGCCAAGAGGAGGAGGGGAGAAAATGTCCCGGGTTCAGAGTCGCTAGAGGAGCTCTGGGTAAAGATGGGGCAGAAACTGAAGGAGGTAAAACTTCCGACCGGTATATTTTCTTGAATTCTGTTGCCTTTTTGTCGCAATAACCGGTGCGTTTCGCTTTGCAGATGGGCGAGGTTGGGCCTGAGACCTTGGAGAGGCTCGCCGAGGACTCCCCTCCCCGGTCATCCCAGCTGGAGGAGAAGCTGAAAGGAGTCGAGGCCCACAACCAGGAGCTGCAGGACTTGATAGCCCGGCAGCTCGATGAAATGGCCAATCTTTCAGCAATTGCCGGGAGGGCCAAGGCAGAGACCCTCCAGCTGAAGGAGGAGAACCTGAAGCTGGCGGAGGACCTGGAGCTAAAGGAGCGAGAGTTCCCCGGCAAGGCCAAGCAATGGGTGGGGGAAAACTTGGAGGAAACGGCCCGGGTGATTACTTCTACCCCGGAGGTGACGATGGAGGCNCAGCTCGATGAAATGGCCAATCTTTCAGCAATTGCCGGGAGGGCCAAGGCAGAGACCCTCCAGCTGAAGGAGGAGAACCTGAAGCTGGCGGAGGACCTGGAGCTAAAGGAGCGAGAGTTCCCCGGCAAGGCCAAGCAATGGGTGGGGGAAAACTTGGAGGAAACGGCCCGGGTGATTACTTCTACCCCGGAGGTGACGATGGAGGCCTTCAAGTTTATCTACCGGGAACCCAACGGGAAGGAAATGGTCACCCAGGTCGGGTCCTACGGTTTCATGTCTGGGCAGAAACGAGACCGGGAGGCTACCCACGCAATCCTGGCTGACCGGGACCCGACCTTCTCTGCCGATGCTTATGGCCTGGCGCCCATCCCCGACGAAGAACCCGAGCCCCCTTTCCCCTTGGAATGAAATCTCCCCGGCTGCGCCCGGTTGGATCGTTTTGAATTTTAAGCTCATTTTCCCGGGAATGCCCGGTGTAATATGTAAACACTTCACATTTTTTGTTTGAATGCCATATTTGTTTTCCAACCCGGTTATTCTTCCATATCTGCTTGCTTGTTGATTTTATACTTTGATCTTGCTCCTTAGAATACCATCCTAGATATCCTGACCGGTATAACTTCAAAGTTTCTCCCTGGTCATTTCATTTCAAGGATCAGCCCGAGAACTTTTGACCGGTTAAACATCAATTGACCGGCCGAACTTTACTTTCTTATTTTGGATAGCTTCAAAAAATTCTTCAATTTAACCGGTAAATTCCAACTGCCTTGCCTTCCGATGGACGTAGAACTTTCGAAGTTCTGTCGTGCCCATACCCAACCGGGTCACCTGCCTTGCCTTCCGATGGACGTAGAACTTTCGAAGTTCTGTCATGCCCATACCCGACCGGGGTATCTCTTTTTTTTTAAAACCGGTAGGTTGTAGATGGAAACACCTGTAACCTAGAAATTCTTGAAGTATCCTTAACCGGTAAGAATACTGGAGATTTAACCATGTCGAATGGTTTCGAACCCTCTCCAAGGTTCAAATGCACCCTTCTTCTAGGGCCACCTCTTCCGGGTGATTAAGTCTTTTAATGGCCCTTTGATTTCTACCATCCCGGGAAGGCCTCAGCTCACCCCCCGTTCAAGTCTTCCCTGAGAAGGGGGATATAGGATGCGCCGCGGTGGACGATCCGCTTCTATTTCTTTTAATGGGCATCTTTTTAGTCCCCAATCAATTTGACGGCGCCGGCTGATTCCCCGACACCAGTCAAACCTCATGGGCCCGTGTAAGTACGGTTCGAACCCTCTTCCAGGTCCAGCCCTCTTGCGGGCATACCCTCTTCCGGGCCCCTCTTCCGAGTTTTGATATTTTTTCTATTATACTGAGCAAGACCGGTGTAGTAACCAGCGTGCCAGGTCCGGGCCTGTGTCTCAGTTGGCTTATCCAAGTGGATTCGATCCACCCAGGAAGCCCTCCTAGGATAGGTTCGACCTTCCAATTCTGCCGCTACCAAATAGAGTATTGAACATCATCGATTTGATTGATAATAAAGTAGGCCTTGCCTAGTATTACAATCATTTGTAGAACTTGCGAAGATGATGGGAATTCCAGGTTCTTTCTACTGGTACCCCTTCAAGAGTTTCTAACCGGTAGGTCCCCGGGCGAATGATGGCTCTAACCCTATATGGGCCTTCCCAGTTTTTTGCTAGCTTTCCCCCGTCGCTGGGTCTACTTGCTTCTCTTCTTCGTAGGACTTCATCACCAACTTGGAAGTACCGCGGCCCAACCTTGTTGTCATGGTACTTCTTCACAACTTGTTGGTACGTACTCATTTTAACTTCTGCGGCCATTCTCCGCTCTTCGACCAAGTTGAGTTCGGCCAAGTGATCTTCCTCATTTTGCTGGGGTTGATAGTTTGATTCCCGGAACGTTGGGAATTCAGCTTCGATGGGCAGCCTTGCTTCACACCCATAGGTTAGGGAGAATGGAGTTTCCCCATGAGCCCTCCTGGGAGTTACTCGGAATGCCCATACGATGTGTGGGCCGTTGTCGGTGATGAGGTTCATGGGCGCTCCAAACCTCGTGATGATGTTCTTCCAAATGAATTTCTTACATTGTTGCGTGGTGATGTTGGCCAATGCTTCGGCCTCAATCCACTTGGTGAAGTAATCGATGGCTACGATTACGAACTTCTTTCCTCCTTGGGCGACTAGAAAGGCTCCAATGATATCAACCCCGAATCTAGCGAATGGGATGACATTCGATACGGGATGGTAGTAGGTCGCCGGTCTACCGGGATATTTGTAGAATACTTGGCACGTCCTGCATTTCTGGACGTACCTTTCACAATCCTGGACAATCGTTGGCCAGTAATACCCCAACAAGATGATGCGTTGGGAAAGCGTACGGGACATTTGATGCGCCGCGCATACGCCTTCGTGGACCTCCGCGATGACTCGTTCAGCCTCCCGGTTGGTTAGACATCTCAGGAGTGGCCCCCTAAATGCCCTTTTATACAGCTTTCCATCGAGAATCTGGAATCGGGGTGCCCTGAGCTTCACTTTCCTTGCCCGGTCATCTTGTTCTGGCAAGCTCCCATCCGTCAGATATTCCATCAGATCATACATCCAATGGTCGTCTGCCCCGACCAAATTTGACCGGTCATACTGGCTTCCGGCCGTTATAGCGGTGACTTCCAATTTCTCGATGCTTGCGCGGTCAAGGATCTCTACCCGGGCAAGTTTCGAAACATGCTCGGGAGCATACTGCGTCAATTTGGAGAGAAGGTCTGCATCCGCGTTCTCCGCCCGGGGAATCTGGGCGATTTTGAATTCTTTGAAGCCCTTCAACAGGGCAAGTACAAGGTCCTTGTATTGTGCCATGCGTCCTTCCCTTGCTTCCATGTTACCGGTCAGCTGCCCTACTATCAGGCTAGAGTCAGATTTGATACTGACCCGGCTGATTTTCAGGGCTTGGGCAAGTCTGAGCCCTCCAGCCAAAGCTTCATATTCTGCCTCATTGTTCGTCAGCTTGAAGTTGAAGACGATCGCATGGTAGATCTTGAACCCTTCCGGGGTGGGTAACACGATACCACCCCCGTATCCTCTAGGACCGGATGCCCCGTCAACTGCCATCTCCCACCATTGCTCATTGGGAGACCGGTCATTTCTACTAGGAAGTCAGCTAGGGCCATTCCTCTAGGACCCATTGGGGTTAGACCGGTCATTTCTACTAGGAAGTCAGCTAGGGCCTGTCCCTTGATCGCTGACATTGGCCGGTACTCAATGTGGAATTGAGTTAACATCATCGCCCACTTCACCATCCTCCCGGAGGATGTTGAATTTCGCAACACTGCACCAGCGGTTGGTCAGTCAAGACTTCTACCGGGTGAGCTTGGAAGTAGGATGTTAACTTTTTTGCGGAGATAAAAAGCGCATAGGCCGTCTTTTCCATAGCCGTATATCTACTCTCCGCCCCGTTTAGTGCTTTGCTCACATAATAAATGGGCTTTTGTGCCCCATCATCTCTTATTAAAACGGAGCTTACAGCATTTGGGGAAATTCCCAGGTACAGATACAGAGTTTCACCCGGTTCGGGTTTAGACAATACAATATCCGACGCTAGGTACTCTTTCAGCTCCTCGAATGCCCTCCGGCATTCTTCGTCCCATGCAAATGCGCTGGCCTTCTTCAGAACTTTGAAGAAGGGCAGGGATCTCTCAGCTGACCGGGAAAGGAACCGGCTGAGGGCCGCTAAACGACCGGTCAACTTTTGAACATCCCTAACGGAGGTAGGGGCTTGCATTTCAGTGATAGCCCGGATTCTCTCTGGGTTGGGCTCTATTCCTCTCTTGGTCACCATGAATCCCAAGAACTTCCCGGTACGAACCGCGAAGACGCATTTCTTAGGATTCAGCCGGAGGTTGTACTTTGCCATGATATCGAACGTGGCTCGCATATCAGCCGAGTGGTTCAGAGATACCTGGCTTTTGATCAGCATGTCGTCGACGTATGCCTCCATGGTCTTTCCCAGTAGTGGCTTGAAGAGCTTGTTCACCATGCGCTGGTAGGTTGCCCCCGAGTTCTTCAAGCCAAACGCCATTACCCG